ATTTCAATAATTTTTGGCCTTCAGAAACCACCAATTTGACAATTATCAACTTTCGCACGCAGCTCGACCCAGGATAAGACAATTTAACAACTATCCTTCAATTCTGCAATACGTGAGGAAGCTCTTTTCGCTTTCATTTGAAAAAATGATTCATAAAAAATTTTTATGAAAATAATTGCGCGCATTTTTATTTTTGCGGCTGATTTTTTTTAAATTCAGTTTTGCAGAAAAACGCGACACATATCAGCGGATCGTTGCGGTATTGGCTTTTGTATATGAGGTTTTGCTAATTCAGGCAATTTTCGGTGCAGATGTAAAGGCGATTAAACTGAAAAATTAGAGCAACTTGGCCGGAAATTTACAGAAATGAAAGATTATTAAGTTTATTCTGGAAGATACTGTTCTCAATAAAAGCTTCTCGTTAGTTTGCTCGATAACTTGTAGAACTATGTGCATGACTTTACTGGGGTTGGGGAGTAAAGTCACGCACACAGTTCTGTAAGTTATCAAGCAAACTGTCGAGCAAACATCCATGGAGAACAGTATTTTCCAGAATAAAATCAATAATCTTTCATTTCTTTAAACAATAATTTTGGGTTCAAAGTTGAAGGTGATGCGCGAGGTCCAGTTGTGGTGCTGAAAAGGAATGTATACGAATTTGTGGACCAAAGAAATTGAATATATCAAGCACATTTCACTATTAGTTAATGCCTATTCTTCGAATAACGTTTGTAATTTTGTTTAACCAAGGTATTAATTATGACACATATTAAAAAACCAGATGAATGGGATGTCCTAGATGTTCCTATTCAGTTCATTAAGTTTCGGTCCATTAAGTCATAAACATTTCTGCTCAGCATCACAGCTTAAATCTAATAAGCAAGTTGGCATTTAATATTAATAAATGTTTATTATTGAAATGAATGAACAAGCCAAATAGCAATTATTTGTCCTACTAGTGGCTTAAATGCTTGTTAAGCGCGATAACAGTGGTACTTGTCACTGCGTCATGCCTGTTAGCAAGCTTTTCAGAGAAAATATCACTGTTAATTTTAATAGAATTTTCCTTTCGCGCTGTTCCTGTGAATCAAAATAAAGGCACAAAAATGAATGTAATAATTTTTTCGTAAAAATACATTTTCATTCGCAGCACGGATTAATCTAATTCAACTTTCTCACGATTCGCACTGCGTACCTATGGCAACAGGGGGGTGTACTTCCGTGAACGCCTATTTATCGAAATACTTAAGATGAGATTATAAAAGTGTTTTGTGAACCACTGAAAACGGTTGACGAACTGCTAGTTTCCTGGAGCGTTCTGGAATATTTCGCACAGTACAATCACTTTTCATTGCGCTACTTTGACCAAAAATCATTTTGGTACCCAAATTTTTGCGGAGATATTTTTCAAAAATACTGCGAAAACAATTCTGTATTGTACGATGAAGCTGTTATTCCTCTGTGTATTTTTCGCAACAATTGTACCAGTCATTCACTCGCAGGACGATGAGACAACTGTTGCTAATAGCGATTTCCACAACGCTGCTGATAGTACCGGTACAAATATCAATAGTAACAGTGGCAACGTTGTCGATAAAAACGTTACTGGAGAAACTGAAGGTAACATCTTACGAAGTACTGTTGAGGGCTAAGGCTTTTCATCCGGGGGGTACAAGATATTTTTGTTATTTGTAATAACTACAGCAAATGGCTGACATGGCATATCGAGACGAAACACTGCTGTCACGCAGTAGGTCGACGATCCGGCTTCATCAGCTGGACAATTAATCCCTCTACGATTCGTTCATTCGTTTCGATAGTAAATTGGTACTGGCATCTGTTAACGGCTCAGAACCTCCATTAGTTTGCTTGCGAGCACCCCTCCAAAGAGGAAGACACTGGCAGTCTTGCCTGTAATGGTTGCTGTTGGCATTTGCTATCGCTCGAGCTACTTGTTAAAAATGATTTCCACCTCTCGCAAAGACCAAAATGTGGATCGACTTTTGTATTCTCAGAAACATTAGAGTGTGGGGACGGAAGGGAATCTTTGTTTTTCGCGGATTTAAGGCTGGATAGACTCTTGTGCCACCCCCTCCCCCGGCCCCTCCCCTTCCTCCCGCACACTTACTGAGCACCAATATTCTGTATGTATGCCCTAAGCAGGCATGCTCAATAGTGCAGCTCCTACAAGCATCGCACTTTCCAGTTCATGCTGGCTTTTCGTGGGACTTCGTCGACAGAAACAATGCAGCTAAAGGAATAAGTAAAAAAAAAAACAGGAAGAGAAAGGAAATGATTAGATTGATATGCGATAAATTGGATCGCGCCTGAAGCTTATTTTTAGATGAATGTGTGGATCAGGCGCCGAATTGTAAGAAATACGCTGCGATGGGTCTGTGCTATCATTCGAGTGTTCGCAGACAAATGTACGCCAAGTGCAAGGCTACATGCGGAATCGGTAGCCGGTGCTGTGTGGATCGATCCCAGAATTGCACCAGTTTAACGCCAAAACACTGCTCAAGCGGTAACGCAATGCAGGCATTTGCCCAGGAGAACTGCGTGAAGACGTGCACAAAATGCGACTGTCAGGATCATGCCCGAGACTGCCAGCAATGGAAGGAGTATTGTCATGATGCGAAGTTTGAAACACTATTTCGATCACGCTGCCCGGCGACCTGTGGTTTTTGCTAACTCTGGGCTTATGATCGCACATGAGAAATCACTGTGTGCCCTGCTTTTTTTTCCTCCAAAAAACATTATGTTTGATGGATATGGAAAAAAATCGAAAAGAATGAATCCATGAAAATCGGATAAAAATGAAATTCGATAAAAATTGGACAAAAAATTCAAAACTGAATAAAAATTGAACTCACAAAAAATCTTTAAAAGCTCGTTTTTCGATAAATTCGAGAATTTGTAAAAAAACTTTATTATTGAAAATTTTGAGCCTAAAACTCCGCAAACTTGATGGAAAATACAACTGAATTGAAAATCTTTTTCTACAAGTAAGCCGCTTTAACAAAGCATAGATAGGAAAAATATCGATTTCCCTCACGGGTTTCGGCTTAGGTTGCTTACTCTTAAAATTCGCTGTTTTTGAGTAACCAGAAGAAAAATTTTGCGCCATGTATGAGCTGAAAGTAATTATTCTGACACTATGAATCTGTATTTCACTGTAATATTCTGTCACGATTAAATTATCGAAAAGTGGAGAAAT